CACCGACAATCTTCTCCTCCTTCTTCTCCTCCTCGGGCTGTGTTTGGGGCGTCATCTCGATCGCGCCTGCGCCGGCGCTGTGGCCCGCCGCCGCGGCAGCCTCGACGTCGAGCTCGCGGTGGCGGCGGCCGAAGAGCCCGAGGCGGCGGTGTTCCTGGTGATGCTGGGGCGGACCATTAAGTTCGGGAATCACGTTCAGGTCGGGGGGCGCCGAGGACTGGGCGCGCTCGATGGAGGAGCGTGTCGTGTCCTCGCTCGCGGGGCGGTCTTTGGGCTTGACGTCGTCGTCGTCCTCCTCCTCGACGGGGGCGAGGGCGGGGCTGAGATCCAGCGCGGCGGTGGTGGGGAGGGAGAACTTCTGGTTGAACCCGCCAGGCTGCAGGCCAGTGTACAGGATGCGGGGCTCGGTGAGGGCGTCGGAACTCGCGCTCGGCGTCGGGTACAGCGACAGCGTGACGCGGACCTGCGGCGTCATGGCGTCGTAGCTGAACTTGAGAATGTGGAGGGGCGCAGCACTCGAGATGTCGGAGGCGTCGTGCTCGAGCGGTTGGAGGAGCAGACTGGGCCGCTTCAGGTTCACGAGCGCCTGCAGCGTGGTCGTTGCGTGCAGGCCCTCTTCGGCCTTGGCGCGCTCGACCCAGCGCTTCACGACGTCGACAGAGACGGACGTGCCCGCATCGGGCTTGGTCCAGCCGGGCTGGTCGTCGTCGCCCACGTCGGGGCCAAAGATGGTCTCGCGCCGCCGCGTCTTCTCCTCCTTTGCCGGCTCGCCGCCGGGGGGCAGCGCGCCGTCGACGACTACCGTCTGTTGAGTGACAGGAGGCGGGTAGAGCTGGAACCCGCTGCGGGCGTTGGAGGGGTTGGTCACAAAGTTGAAGGAACGCGAGCGGGTGCGCGAGACCTCGGGCTCGGTGTGCTGGGAACTGGGGGTCAGCGTCGAGTCGATGGAGTACAGGCGCTCCATGTGGGCACGAGGGGTGGGAGTGATGGAGAGAAAGGAAGAAGGACTCTAGGAGTGATACATACTAGGCCGTCATCCACTGGCCAGCCGTCGACGACATGCTCATGACGTGTGTGCTGCGTGGTGGTTCGGAGCCGTGTCAAAAGTGTGCGCTGCACTGCTTGCTGTGTCTGATCTGCTGCTTGGCGAGGAGACTGTTCGAGTGTTTCACGATACTGCAGTGCTGATTAAGGTCAAGAGTGTGCCCAGAAGGATGGATGAATGATGAGAACTCCAACCGTGGCCGTGGTCGGTGTCTCGCTGCCCCGCCGCCCGCGGTCGCTGTGCGCGGAGCCCAAGGCCCAGCCAGGGAGGCAAAGGTCCAGCCCACCCCGAGTCGACCCAGGGTTTGGTCCCGTCTTTTGCCACAGCTTGCCACCGTCTTCACTCCAGCCAGGCCAGCCAAGTTGGGTGGCTGCGGTGGAGGTGCATCACGTGTTTAGACCAGTTCTGCCGTTCTGGTGCTCTACTGACGTTGACCCGGCTATTATGAGCGATGGTGACGACGGGGCGTCAGTCGACGTCGACTGCTGTGGTCAAGGTCTGCATGGGCTTGAGACGTTGAGACAGCGCAGCACGCATCGACCAGCTGCCATGTGCTCACGCATGCTTGCTTCACACTCGCTTCGTTCGCATCACTCGCGAAGCTAAAACCAAATGCATGTCTGTATATGTTCTCTCTCATACACTCTGTCCATACATCAAGAACGCCCTACCCAGTAGCTTTACCCCAGCCAGCCCAGCCAGCCGATTCATACTCCGGGTAGCGACCCAATGTACACGTTTCCTCACTCCCGCCGAACTGGAGGAAGATGAGGGAGGGTATCCAGGTTCGGGGGGTATCCAGGTTCCAAAACTAGTACTAATGTGATGAATGTATCGTTCTTTGCGTCCTCGCGTCCTCGTCTCCTTCTCCAATCCCCGCCCGCCCTCCCATTCTAGCTACTCGTCGCGAGCCAAGCCACAGATAACCAGGCTCGTTTTCGTACTCAGTCGGGTCTTCCATTAATTCTCTCGTATGGTATATCGTCTCAAATCTCATTCTCATTCTCATCGTCTGGCTTTCGTTTTTGTCCGTCTATTTCGTCGTCGTGAAAGAGTCCCAAAACGCCGGGAAGAGGCTGGTATGCGTGCAGGTGATGGTGCCGGGAAGCAGGGAGAGCAGGGATGGAGCAATGTGATGCGTTCGGATGCTGCCGCCGCCTGGGTGAAGGAGACGCCGGCTTACACACTGGCGCCCGGTGACGCCAGCTTCGACGGCCGAGGCGCCCAGCTTGCCGGCTGGCGTCATGACGTGGCTCGCCCAACAAGCTCACACCGGGCTGGCGCCCGGTGTTCGCTTACTGCGGCCAATCGCCCGAGTACGCCGAGCTCGTGCGCGAGTGGCGGCCGGCGCCCTCGTTGATAGCGCGCTGGGCGGGGTGCATGTATCCGGCGGGCAGGTCGCCGTTGGCGTGCATCGCCCCATGTCCGTTGATGCGCTTCTCGTCGTCGCTCACGCTATGCGCGTCCGGCGAGCGGGCGCGTTCCCACTGCTTCAGCTCTTTCGTAAACTTGTCGAACGCCATCGAGGTGCCCCCGTCGCTGCTCGCGGACGAGCCGCGGCGCAACGCCATGCGTTCCTCGTCGTCGGAGCCTAGGTGCATATCGGCCTGGTTCATCTCGAGCAGCGTCGCGATGCGGTGCTGCGCCTGCGCCAAGTCCTCGCGCAGAGCCTCGTTCTCCCGGTCTGCCTCCTCGGAGCGCATACGCAGCAGGTCGACTTCCCGGTTTCGGGCGGAGAGGACGTCCTGCGATGCCTGCAGCTCGGCCTGCAGCGTCGAGTACTGCGACTGCAGGGTTGTGAGGCGGCGGGAGAGCTCGCCGTCCGACGGCGTCGCGCGGCCAGAGCCAAAGGAGCGCGCTCCGGGTTCAGTAGACGAGGAGCGGCCGCGCAGCTGGTCCAGCTCGGCGAGGAGCGCCGTGTTCGTCGCCTTTTGCTTGTTCAGCTCGTCCTTCATGCGCTTCAGCATCTTCTCCGTGCCCTTAACGTAGCGCACGGCAGTCTGGTAGTCGCCCTCGAGCGCCGCAATCTTCTCCTTGTACTGCGTCTCGACGTCGGCGAGGCGGCGCTCGGCCTCAACTGCGCGCGTGGCGGGGTCGTTCGAGTGCGCGTGCGTGTCCGACTGCGTGCCGCCAGGCGAGGGGGAGCGCATCGAGCCCGCGCTAGAGCTGCGCGCATCCTTCATCCGCTCGACGAGTCGGCCCAGCGACTCGACCTTGTCCTCGGCCTCGTGGCAGCGGCGCGTGAGGTCGTCAATCTCGCGCTGCGCATTCTCGTGCGCACGAGCTTTGTCACGCAGCTGCGTCTCGAGCTCGCTCGCGTTCGGCGCCTCGGCGTTCTCGAGCTCCGTGTCCGTGATCGTGACGCCGTGCTCGCCGAGAAGCTTGCGGAGCAGGTGCACCCGCGTCTGCAGCTCGGTGACGGCAACGTCGCGGTCGCGCAGCTCGGCGTCCTTGGCCGCGCACGCATCGCGGTACTTGCTCATCTCGTTCTGAGCGGACATGAGCTTGGTCCGGTGCACGCGCAGGTCGCTGCGGAGCTGGTTGTGCGACTGCTCGACGTCGCGCTGCTTCTGGCGGTGCGTCGAGACGAGCGCCTCGGTCGCGTCGACGCGCTGGCCGGCCTCGCGCAGGAGCTTGAGAAGCGACGACTTCTCCTCCTCGAGCGCACGAAGCTGGTCCTGGTGGCCCTTAAGCGAGCGGGACGAGTCATCGTTGAGCGACCGGTTGGCAGTAACGAGGTCGCCGAGCCGTCCAGAGGTGAGCGAGCGGAGACTCGTAATCTCCTCGCGCGTCTGGTTGTGCATGTTCTCGGCATCGGCGGCGCGCGAGTTGGCAGCCTCAATCTCGCGGTCCTTGACCTCGAGCTGGTGGCGCAGGTCCGCAATCTCCTCCTCGAGGTGCGAGATGTGCTCCTTCGCTTGGCCGTGCAGGTTCTCGAGCTCGTCGGAGCGGTTGCCGGCAGCGACAATGGCGAGCTGCGCCTCCTCGAGCATGCGCGTAAAGTCGTCGTGCTTCGAGGTGAGCTCGTCGAGCTGCTCCTTGTACTGGTCGCGCTCGGCCTCGCGCTGGTTGTGCGTCGAGGTGAGGGTGATGAAGCGCTCGTTGTGGTCGCGGAGAGACTTCTCGTGACCATCGGCGAGCGTGCGAATCTCCTCGAGCTGTTCCCGGAGCGCGGCGTTCTCCTCCTCGGCCTCTTCGGCGCGCTTCAGCGTCTCAGCCTCGCGGTCGGTCGCCGAGGAGCTAATCTCCTGGTGTCGCGAAACCTCGGACTGGAGGCGGTCGAGCTCGGCCTTGTTCTTCGAGTACTCGTTGGCAGTTGACTCGAGCTGGTGCTCGAGGTCGGCGATGCGCTCCGTGTCGACGCGGTTGACCTGAACAGAGGAGCCGGCCTCGATGGCCTGCAGCTTGGCGCGGTAGTAGGCGGCCTCCTGGAGGGCCGACTTCTGCAGGCGTTCCGTCTCGTACATCTTGTCGCTCATCTGACGCACCTGCGCCGCAACGTCATTCTGCAGGTTGGACTTCTCGTGCTTGAGCTGGACGAGCGCCTTGGCGAGCTGGCGCACCTTGTCGTCGTCGCTGACCATGTCGGGGGAGGGCGTGTCGATCGAATCGTCGTCGGTGACAAAGCCCTCCTTGATGGCACGGCTGAGGACGACGCGGAGCGCAGCCTCGCGTCGCTTGGCGTTGTCCGCCTCGGTCTCGCGCGCCTTGAGCTCGCGCAGGAGGTCAGCCGTGCCGACGATGGATCCGGGGCGGTTGCCGACGATAGAGCCTGGTCGGCCTAATAACGATCCCGGGCGACCGTTAATCGACGTCGGCCGGCTGCCCGAGCCCGTGGGCGAGCGACCACCGCCGCCAAAGTAGAACGCGTCGGCGGGCAGAGCTGGTCGGCCGGGTCCGTCGAGACGTAACTGAGGAGGCGGGCTGCGCGAGTTGCGTGGGTTGGGGTGGATCGTGTGGCTGGGCTGGATGGGCGAGCCGCCGGCGTTCTGGTCCTGTCCCATGAGAGCGCGCTCGGCAGCGTTGATGGGCGTCGGAGACTGGATGCCCGACGCGGAACCGTTCGTGGCCGCAGCGCCCGCGGCAGCCGCAGCACCAGCTCCAGCAACACCCCGCCGACAACAGCAGCGCCGATGCCATTGTTGTTCAAGCTGCTCTTGCGCTCCGGGCTCATCGGAATGTTATTCTGAGAGTTCGTGTGCGAGTGCGCGCTGCCGTTGAGGCTCGGGGCGTTGTTGCTGGCGTTCGAGGCGTGGCCCTGGTTGGACGAGTGCGCGGTGCCAAAGTTCTGGTACCCCATGTCGCCGTTCGGGCCCTGCTGCTGGTTGCCAAAGCTACCGCCGCTCGTGGGCGACATGGCTCTCCGGAACTCATCGTCGCCCTCGCGCTTGGGACGCTGCGGGGGGACGCCGTTGGGACGGACGGCGCCAGGCTGGCCGGGCTGGCCGGGGCCGTTCGGCGGGGCAGCGCCCGGCGGGAAGCCCTGCCAGTCCTGCGACTCGTTCCGTCCCGTGCCCTTGGTGACGTTGTTGCCCGTGTCGTTGGCGATGACCAGAGGCCGCTGCTCTGATCCTTGTCCTTGGCCGAAAATGGTGGATGGAGACATTGACCGAGACAGGTTGTCGTGCGACCTCGACGCCAAGTAGGCGGCCCGTGTGGCGTCGGGGCCAGCTTGGCCCGTACCGTAAGGCGAAGTGAGCCCTCCCGGCGAAGGGCGCCTGTCTGTGGCGTCCGAAGTCGTTCGCGGGCGGGTCGTGTTGGGTCGTCCAGCCTGGCTGTCGGTCGGATATTTAATCTTCGTAGTGTCCAGCACGTGGAGCATGTTAGGATCATCGCGCTGAGAAAGGTTGGAGAGGTTGGACTCTCCACCAATGACAAACACCTTGCCGTGGGCGGCACAGAGAGAGTGTCCCGACTTGGCCATGGGTGTGGGACCCATGTTCTGGAACATGTACCATCGCTGGTTGGAGATGCGGAAGGCCGCGAGGTCGCCGAGGTCCTTGCCGTGCACGTCACGACCACCAAAGACGTAGATGACATCGTCGACGATCGCCGCGGCGTGGCCCTCACGCGGGATGGGAATGTAGCCAATGCACTCGAGCTCGGTCCAGGCGCCGGTGGCGACATCGAACGACCACGAGTCGTTGTAGTGGTAGTCGCCGTCGGTACCTCCAAACAGGTAGAGCTTGTTGCGGTACGGTACGAGCGTGTGGCCGGTACGAGCCAGAGGCGCAGGGGTGGAGTAGCTGACGCGCTCCCACTTGTACTGCCCGTTAGGCGTGTCCTGTCCCAGCTGGCGAATGTCAAAAGACCACAGGTCGTCGAGGTTCCGGCCATCGACGTGACCGCCGTGCACGTAGAAGCATCCACCAAGAAGGCACGCGGCATGGCCGTACCGACCACTCGGGCCAGTCGCAACCGGCACACCGGTCCACTCCTGCGTCCGCAGGTCCAGAACGTAGAGGCCGCTGTCCTGCTGGTCGTCCTCGTTGATCTTGGTGTCGCCGCCGAACACGAGCATGACGCGGTCGGCAATGGCGCTGACGTGCCCGATACGCGGGAGAGGCGCCTCGCCGCGGGTCTTGACGAGCTGGAGGGAGCAATCCCGGACGTCGAGGCTCCAGAGGTCGTTGTGGGCGCGCTCGCCGACTAATCCACCAAAAAGAAGCATGTGCCCCGAGTGCGACGGGTAGGGCGGCACGCTGAGCCCGTATCGCGGGAAGGGCGACATGGGCGGGGCGGGCGGGTTCGTCGGGGGCTGGTACAGCCGCAGCTGGCGCGTCGACCACGGGTAACCGGGGTTCGTCGGCGACTGCACATTGTGCGGCGGGCCGAGGGGCTGAGGCTGCGTGCCGGGCATGGGCTGTCCAGGCATTGTCTGTCCCGGGTTGATGTTGGGAAGAGGAGTGCCGGTAGTGGGTGGGCCGTTCTGCTGCAAGGCAGAAGGCAGTCCCATGCCTAATGGGTATCCGGGGCCGCCAGCCGGTGACGCACGGCCAGTCGCGACCTGCTGTAAGGACGAGCGGTCGGGAGGCATGTATCCTTGTTGCTGGCCTGGCTGTCCCATCTGAAAATGATTAGCGACCAGCTCGTCGTACTCTCCCCCCTTCTCTCCGCTCCGCTCCCTGGTTTCTCACCTGCGGCTGCTGCTGGGCCGTCATCCGCTTCGGGTTGGGGAAATTTCCATTAGGACCGCCCGCCGCGTTGAAGCTGTCCGAAACCGAGACGTGACGCGCAGCGGCAGTCATGGATTGGGCTGGCTGGCCTCTGCAAAGGGTCAGCACTGGTACTGTGATGCCGATCATCGTCGGATCCTCGCGCAGTTCCATGTCAACATGGGAGATGGCTTGCGCTCGATGCAAGCGCGCTTCCATCACACCCGCAGTCCGGGACGCAGTACCCGGGACGAAGCATGCTTGAGTGGATACGAGAGATTAAAAAAAAAAGTTGCGCGGTGGTCTGGTCGCGATAAAGACAAGGCTACTTACTGGACAGGCGGACTGTTAGTCGGGGAGCGAGCGCCTTCGCCGCGCTCCTTGCTGGCCTTCTTCTTGAAGATTGCCATGCTGGGGTCGCTGCTGATCTGGCGGCGGAGGGTGTCGAGGCGTTGTGAGTGCCCGCTTGATGGGAGTGGGGAGAGGGGATGTGATTAGAGGAGTGCCATGCACACAATCGAATTGTGAGGGGTTGGTCGATGGGAGGGAGGACGCGTGACTGAGAGTAATGTACGCTGCTTTGAAAGGGTGACAAAGTGAAAGAGTCGGGCGTGTGCGGAAGATTGAGAAAGTGTGTCGGATGTCGGAGAGGGATGTGTAGCGAGGATATGGTTGCTGTGCCGGGGATGTTGGATGTTGATAGGGTACGAGATGGATGGGAGAGGGGGCGTCGGTGGGGTGTGTCGAGGATAGAGAGGAGTGGGATGGAGGTGAGAGAGATGTGGAGAAAGCGAGGAGGATGGGGTGGGTTGTAGGCGGAGGGTGCTGAGTGGCTAGTGGCTCGTTGTCGGTGAGTGAAGGGGGGAGGAGGCTAGGAGGAGGAGTGGAATGGGTGCGGGTCGTGACACGGGGGTGGGAGGAAGGGGTCAGGGAAGGCGCGCGCTGGTAGCTGGTGGTGGTGGTGGTGGGTGGTGGTGCTGCTGCTGCACAGTGGGAGCCGTCTGCGGTCTGCGGGCTGAGCGCCGTGAAAGTGGCTCAACGACCAAGGCTCAAATGGCTAAGGCGCACTAAGGCAATAAGGGTTCACCCCCTCCTTCACTCACAAGGCGCGAGGCGGGCAGGCCATCAGAGCCGAGACGTGCGCAAAGGCACGCAGAGGGGGCGTCGACGCGCGGGAACAAATGGATGCGTCCCAGGGCAAAACCCAGGGTCACAGTCCATCCACGCCCTGGACGCGCCATGTTCATTATTCGACAGCCCAGCCAGCCAGCCCACCACCGTAGACGCGCTCACCCTCCTCCCCGATCCCCGCTCACCGCCGTACCGCCGTCCGCTACCGTACTGCTCCTTCGTCCGTCTCGTCTCGCACTGACTGTCGAGCTCTGATCCAAAGAACCAAGCCCGAAGCTAAAACTCTCCTTCCCTCCCTCCCATCCAATCCATCTTCCTCTGACGCGCTCTCGCTCTTACGGCTATCTTTCATCTGCCCGTTATTGATGCAACGGAGCATAGTCAGCTTTGATCTAACAGTGCTTAAGCACATTTAGCACCCTCACCAAAGAGCCTTAGCACTGTCCAGTCACCGCTGTCGACCCTCCTCACGTCGAAACCATTCACCCTCTACCGCCCATGCCGCCCGCACACTCAACGCACACCCGCTCTATTTTAGAGTTTCCCCCGCACACAATTTCTTGACTCTTTCCCCTGGCCTATCACCGTCCTTGCAACCTTCCACTTTACCTTCACCCCTAATTTCCACTCGCAGCACCATGAATGCGCTCTCCTCATTCACTGTAGCACTACTTCATTTGTTCCGTGGCTGCATTCCAAGATCTACAACTTGTTTCGCTTCTTCTCATCTTCATCCTCGCTCATCCCTTGTGTCTCGTGTCGCACCACGGGCCATTACCTGCTACTTAGAGCTTGGCGCCGATAGGCTTGTACACGGGCGTCTTCTTGGCCAGGCGGGCCTTCATTGAGGCAATAGTGTCCTGCATCGCGTCAGCCTTGCGATTCCAGATTCCACATAGCTCTGTGTAAGGTTTAGCTTCTTACCTCAGACTGCAGCATAGCCCTGGTGATCCGTTAGCGTCACTCTTCTCTTTGCGTTCGCGCGGCTCGGCTCGGATGGCATCAAAGGCCTCCCCCCCCCACCCTTGCTGTTACTCACTGGTTCCAGGCGGCAGTGTAGTCGAGTCCCTCCTGGACACTGGGAAGTGGTCAGTACATGTGATCTCGGAGTAAGGCAGCCCTTACGAGTGGTCCCTAGCATCTGAAACGTCAGCTCAACCGCCACTTGATGTCTATCGGTGTCCACTTACGGTTCATCAGGTGCTTGGTGCTAACGACGGCGATGGGGCTGTTCTTGGCAATGACATCGGCCATCTTGATAGCAGCCTCTGATCATCATCAGTACCACTACTATTGTTGTGCATGCATGTGTACTTACCGAGGACCTCCTTGCGGCTGCCGGGGACGACCTCGCTGACGAAGCCGATTTCCTTGGCCTCGGCAGCGTTGAACTCACGGCCGGTGAGGGCGAGCTCACGAGCCTTGGAACCACTGCCAACAATCTTGGGGAAGCGCTGGAGGGTACCAATGTCGGCAGCCAGGCCCACCTTGACCTCCTAGACGTTGGTCAGCATGATAACAAAGGTTGGTATGGTGTGGCGGCCGGGGCCACGGCCGAACCACGAGGTCGGCCGTTAGGGTCGGCAATCGCCGTAGACTCACCATGATGCCGAACTTGGCGTCCTCGGAACAAAGACGGATATCGCAGGCAGACGACAGGTCAATAGCCAGGCCGAGGGAGAATCCATGCATGGCACAGATCACGGGTTGGGTGCAGAGCTCCAGGGTGGAGATGGCACGCTGGAAGTGCTGTCGCCGATTAGTGATACTGATTATGTTTTGGGCCGGCAATAGGTTGCCGAGATTCGACAATTCGGTGACGCCCACCGATCTCGACATTGGTGGGGTCAAACTCACAGTCAGGTGTCCACGGATAGCAAGGGCGCGGCGAGCAGCGTCAAGGTCGTTGCCGGCGGCCAGAACCGAGGGCTGCGTGACGTCGAGTCCGGCAGTGAAGAACTTGGCGAGGCGAGAACCGACCACGATCACGCGGATGTCAGAGTTGCCCGAGACCCGGTTGATGATGTCCTCGAGCTCCATCCAGAACCTGGGGGGTCAGCTGTCGTAGGTCGTAGTAAATTTACGCATCGTGAAAAGCGTTGGCGGGAGCCCTGTGAGAAGTTAGCAAAGTCCAATATCTCAAGCAGACGAGGAAGGCCACATCGCTTCTTGCTCGGTCGACTTACCTGTTGAACTCGAGAAGGAGGACGTGGGGAGCGGGCTCGGAAGCGAGGTGGAACTTGCCGTTGTACTGGGAGACGTCGACCATTGTGACTGTTGTGCTGCTGTTGGATTAGAGGGTGAGGGAAGACAAGAAGATGAAAGTGTTGTTATATATCTGGCAGGGGATGTCGGGCCAAGTGTTGCTGTGGACCGGTGGTGGCCGCCCTGGAATGGACGGGTGGAGGGTATCAGGCACCGACGTCAGGCCCTGCCGATTAGAAAGGGGTTCAAATGCTTCGGCTTGGGTCGACTAATTCACAGATGTAATGAAGGTGTAATAGGCTGGATTCCATGTGTGGAGGGTGGCCACGCCAGGCACAGAGCGCGTCGAAGCTACGCCTTGAGCCAACGTACAGCGTAAGGGCGTCGTGACCTGAAACCAACAACCCCTCCACGCATATTACGATACTGGCCTCAACACCTTCCTTTCTCAAATCATCCCTCATCTCCATCCCATCTTTGTCTTCCCTAACCCCCGACCCACACCGGCCACTCTCACCTTTCGTCGCCAGTCCGCATCTGTTCACCTCCCAGCGAGCTACCACCAGCACCACCGCCGGCACCGTCATCTCATCGCCCAGCCGACGCCCCTCGCTCGACCCCCACAATCTCCCGTGACCTTCCGCGCGCACAAACGCTGGCCAGCTCGACCAGGCGCCGCTGACGATTCCACTATCGACTCGCCTTCCCTCACAGACACTCCTCACCTCTTCCGCGCGTCGTAAACGCTTCACCTGCAGCCCTCGCACTTCCGCATTGCCTTATCTTCCCTCACCATTTTTGGATCACGGCTGTCGTCGTAGCAAATCTAGCTCAGATCTGTCCAGACCATGTCGCTGCTGTCCGAGCGGCAGAAGGATGAGCTGTGAGTCGTCTGTTTATGCTGTGTGTGGACACGCGCAGCACGTCCGAGCACATCGTAACCTGTGTGCCGGCCAGCCTTCGGCCGGCTCCCGTTCAACCGCGCAAGCTAACATCACAGCCACCGAGCGATGCTGTCCTATCTGCTCGCGTCGGGCATGCAAGGAACGTACGATGCCCTGTCGCGCGAAGCTGAGCTCGAGGACTTTGACGCTGCCGACCCGAAGTCCAAGTTTTCGGGCCTGCTAGAGAAGAAGTGGACGAGTGTGATTCGTCTACAGAAGAAGGTGAGCTCGCAGCTGGACGCTCATGTCAATGTGCCTAGGGCCAATAAAGTTGGATGTTTGGTCATGTTTGGGCACATTCGCACACAACCAAGTGACGAATGCAGGGAAGCCACACCTAGCGTCATTGTGCACAGCTTGAATGCATGGCTGACATGCGCAGATCATGGACCTGGAAGCCCGCAATAATGCGCTCGTCGAAGAGCTCGCGAGCCCGACACGAGCAGTCGCTGGATCATCGTCTAACACGCCCTTCATCCCGCGACCGCCGGCGCGACACACACTCTCATCGCACCGCGCGCAGGTGACGCGCGTCACGTTCCACCCGACGTGGACGGTGCTCGCGAGCGCCTCGGACGACGCAACGGTCAAGATCTGGGACTGGGAGTCGGGCGACTTAGAGCGGACCGTGAAGGGACACACTAAGGCTGTGACGGACGTCGACTATGACCCGAAAGGCAACATCATGGGTGAGCTAGACACAACCGCTCGGAGCTGACTCCAGCGACATGTTCGGGAGATATGACGATTAAGCTCTGGGACCCGGCAAACGAGTACAAGAACACGAAGACGCTGCACGGACACGACCACACGGTATCGAGCGTGCGCTTCATGCCGACGGGCGAGCAGCTCATCTCTGCGAGCCGCGACAAGACGATCCGTGTATGGGAAGTGTCGACGGGGTAAGCTCCATGCATTTCGACGAAGCTGACACCAGATACTGTACGAAGACGTTGACAGGGCACTCGGAGTGGGTGCGCGAGGTGGTGCCGAGCGACGACGGGCGGCTACTAGTGTCCGTGTCGAACGACCAAACGGCGCGGGTGTGGGACTTCGCCACGGGCGAGACCAAGTCCGAGCTCCGAGGGCACGAGCACGTGGTGGAGTGTGCCGTCTTCGCGCCCGCGAACAGCTACGCGGCGATCCGGGAACTGACCGGAATAAACAGCAACGGCGGCGCGGCCGGCACCCGCCCCGAGGCGGGGCGGTACGCCGCCACGGGATCGCGCGACAAGACGGTCAAGCTCTGGGACACGGCGAGCGGGCAGTGCCTGCGCACCTTTGTGGGACACGACAACTGGGTGCGCGCGCTCATCTTCCACCCGAGCGGCAAGTACCTCCTCAGTGCCAGCGACGACAAGACGGTCAAGGTCTGGGACCTCGCCACGGGCCGGTGCACCAAGACGCTCGACGCGCACGGGCACTTTGTCACTTGTGCGGCGTGGGGGAGAGCCACGGTTGGAGGAGGAGGCGCAGAGAAGGACGGCAAGAAGGACGAGCCGAGACGGATCAACGTCATGGCCACGGGCTGTGTTGACAATACGATCAAGGTGGGCTCAAGAGACAGTGGTAGAGCTGACAGAACCAGGTCTGGACACCATGAGACTTCCCCCCCACCCTCACCAACCACCTGCATCCTTCATCCCCCCTTTACAGATACACTTTTTTCCATTTTAGATCGGATGGCTATGGGAGCCGTCAGAGCCACCGGGGCGAGTTTTGTGTGCATTCATACTTCCTTTGCAATTACAGGTGTTTCTTGGCCCCCGTCCTCATGTCGCGTCTTGCTGTCACCCCGCCTGACCTTCCTCCATCGTTCGTCATTCCTTATCATGTGTGTCTCGTGTTTACGTCCTGCAAAGTACCAACAATCAGAAACTCAGAACCCTCGAAGCGTGGGCGGTCGTTAAAGGTCATCGCATCGTCAGGCTACAGTGCGTGCTGTTGTGCTGTGGCTGTGGTTGTGCATTATGGGATGAACTAGTCTATGAAGGGGGGTGGGAAGGTCAGACGTATCCGACCTGGTCGATGCCCATTGCGCGCCGCGCGACAATGACGGCCACGAGCTCCTTGACGAGTTCCTCGAGCACAATGCAGTTGTCGAGCACGCTCGTCAGGCTCATGCGTTCGGGCAGACGGCGCTCGGGCGCGACTGCGCTGTCCGTTTCCGTCGTGCTCGTCTCGCCCGATACGCTTGCCGCTGACAACGAAAGATCGCCTAGCGTCAGGCCCAGAGTGTCCTTCGCTTCCCCGGCCCAAGGGCCCTGTTGCGGTGGCTGGGCTGCTGAGACGTCGACGGCGCCAGAGGTGCCGGCGTAGTGCGTCTTGAATGGTGGGGGAGGTGGGAGAGGCGGGGCAGGAGACGGCGTGCCCGGCGTACCGGGGCCGTTGGTGCTGGCGTGGCTTGGCGTGCGCGCCAGCGGAGGGGTGGAGATCGTCCCCCGGCGGCTTCCCGGAGGGCGCGACGGCGTGCTTGGCGCCGATGGCGGAGTGGCGGCAGGCGGAGGTACACCAGACACCTTGCGCTTTAAGCCCGGACTATTCCAGAGCGCTTTCAGCTTGGCGAGGCCGCCTTTCTGCTTCGGCGTCATATCCGGCGCCTCCTCCGCCATCAGCGTCATCGACTCCTCTAAGTGGTCCGCGAAGAGCAAGCCCTGCCGCCGCTCGGCGAGCAGTCGGTCGAAGCCGTCCAGACTCCGGAAGGCGCCGACCTGCTTTACGAGCTGGCGCAGGATCTGGTACAGCGCCGGCAGCGTGACGTGGCTGAACGGGTCGTCAGAACGCGACTGCACACCAGAGCGCTGGATCTCGCCAATCGAGTCGTCCGAGGACACACTGACGGTCTCATCCCACGGGTCAGCTTCCCGCGGCACATCGTACAGCAGCCATCCTGTCAGAGACCGGTGCGGGCACCGAGCCACTGCGGAAATCGCACCCGTCAGCGCGACGTTGCGGTCTGGCGGAGACGCGAACCATTCGCCAAGCTGCTGCATGAGCTGCCGCACCAGCGGGTCAGACGGAGACAGCTTATGCTGCAGCGGGTCCGAGTCGTACTCGCCTACTCGGAGTAAAGTAGGGTGTCCGTCGTCGTTCACGAACTCGAGCGGCACACGAGACGACCGCCAGCACCCGTCTGCCTCCAGGAACGCCTCGGCGTCAGCCAGATAGGACGCGAAGCCAATAACATCGTGGCTGCTCTGGATAACGTCGTCGAGTTTCGGGATCAGGCCGCTGTACAGCTCCGGCTCCTGAAGGTGGGCGTCGGTGGAGGTAACAGGCGGGGGGAGGGTAGATTGCCAGGTCTCGGTTTCTGGCGGGGGAAGAGAAGGGCGAGCGAGAGCCGTCGCCGAGGGCTCGCGCACAATGACAAGCAGCTTAGAGGTGACATGCCTGCAGTGGTCGGAAAGGAGAGTGGCGGTGAGGTGGAGGGCGGCCGCAGCCGACGCCTCAGAGGAAGAGCGCAGGTTGTCGAGTATCAGGTCGCGCAGCGTAAAGCGCTCCTCGGTCGAAAAGTAATTGCCTTGCGCCACAGGTGCGAACGGGGCAACGTAAGCCATCGCACCGGTCTTGCGCTGCTTCTTGCGTTTCGGTGACGCAAGCGATGGTGGTGGGGCATTGGCGTCCATGAGTACGTCCAGAATGCGATGCAGAATAGGTCCGTCCTCGAGGTTCGAAAGCAGAACGTCGAGGTATGTGAGGATCGCGACTGAGCTGCCATCGTTTGGGCTGCACTCTAGAATCGAGGGATACAGGACGTTGTCGACGAACGTCTTCTGCAACGCCTCCAGCGTAGCGTTCGCGACCGCAGGTCCCAGAACCTGTGTCGACGTTACCTCCGCTCCTGGGTCGGCGTACAGCAGCGGCGAGTGGCACCGGTACAGGATGTCCTGCAAAAAGCCGAACAGTCGCAGGAGCAAGTCAAGCTGGGCGTGGACATCAATGTCGTTCGACTCGATGATATCGTCGTCGTCGTACTCATTCTGCTGGCTGTCACTCTTCTCCCCAGCTCCGAGGTACATCGAGCCGTCCGCTGCATCGGGATCAGAGCGAACCTGCTCCGCCAGGCTGGGAACGCGCAATTTGGTCGGAAGGATGGAGTACGTCGCGCCGAGGCCCGCGGCCATGATATCCGCAAAGTCTGAGTCGAGAATGTACTCGGCCATGGCGTCTCTAGCGTCCTGTAATGGGTCCTGTCCTCCGACCGGGGCCATCGCGAGCGTATCTCCACCTTCATCGCCGGGAGCGAGGAACGCAATGTCGAAGAGGAAGAGCAGACCAGCGCGCGCAAAGTCGCCTATCCTACCTTCGCGATGTACGAAGCGGAGCAGATATCGGAAGAGGAGGAATTCGAAATGAGTGTTACTCGGGTCGCTCATCGATGTCTCTCCAGATCTTGCTGAGCGCCCGGAGCGCCCTGTAGCAATAGACGGAGAAGGGGATAATGTTCGTTCCATCCTGACGGGCGACAGGATGCTGTTGTTTACGTTCGGCGTGGTGTTTCGCGGTGGTGTTGACATCGTCCTGCTGGCAAGCGGAGAAGACATGGCGGCGCCCATTGAGGGCATGTTGGGCGCGCCACTCGAAGTATGCGGGACGAGCCAGCCGCGGTCATGGAAGAAGATCAACAGGAGCGGCGGGTATGCTCTCAAGCGCGAGCACAGGATGCACATGAGGTCGACGAGGTCTTCCTCGAAGTCCATGAAGTCCTCGAACTCGTCTCCGCTCGCAGCAGCACCGACCACCCGCGCTGCGCCGTCGACCCTTTCACTCGGTGCATCACCGACGCATGACCGGATCAGTCTTCGGAGTGGTCGGTGGACGGCGTTGTGTACAAGAAAGCGCTCCGACATGAGCACGACCAGGTTGTTGGCGGCGCGCACGACCTCGTCTAAGGGACTGTCAGCGCTGAAATCTCGGACGCTCAGGCAGGGAAGGTGCAGAGTCGCAGTCGAGCGTCATAAGCGTTGGTCAAACATTTGTCAACAACAATGCAGAGAAGTTTCGGCCCGCTCCTTGCCTGCTGCCTGTTACACGCTGCCGATCGCTGCCGAGGACGATCAAGAAGAGGACTTACCCTTGATACCCCTTGGCCGGTTTGTCTGGCACAGCCGCTCGAGCTGGCCGAGCATGTCATGTCGGAGGAAGTACTCGAGACAAGCGCCAGTCGTATCCTCGTCTGTCCTGTTTGACTCGTAAACAAGTGCATCGACGATATGCTTCAGGTTACGCGGGACGTCTGTCGAAGCGATGCCGCGGGCGAGCTGTCGCTCATCGGGGTGCTCGAGTGTCTGGCGGACTGCCTGCCAAGCGGCGTCGAATGCGGGGAGGTTGTCAGGAGCGTCGACGGCCGCGGCGGGCTTTGGAGCCGCGAGGAGGCGGGTGAAGAAGGTGGACACCTCCATCGCTCGTCGCTTCGGCTGGTCGGCTGTGCGCTGGCCGGGCTAAGGAGCGTGGAGGTGAGGGTTGCGGAGAGAAGAGGGAGAGAGAGGTCGGGGGAAATGAAGATGGCGTTCGTGCTCGCGGGGGAGGGCAGGGGGGCCGAGGGGTGTCTTTGGTCGCGAGGAAGGCTGAGGGTTCAGAGGATGAGGAGGAGGTTCAAGCGTCGTGCTGGGCTTGACTGTTACCGTATGCCGTGACTGCCATGGTGGAGGCTGCCCTGTTCCTCGTTCCGCGTCCGCGCGTCCAGTACCCGCCTACGCGACGAACCTACAAAGTCAGTTCCGGGTGGCGGCCAAATACAGCCGCCCCTGAGCGATGTGTGTTTCGAATCCGCCCTGGCTCCAGAGAATACAGCAGTTCTGGCGTCCGCTGACCTTATCCTCGTGCAGTCTTCCGCATGACATGTCCTACATCTGTCGCTCAAAGCAGTGTGAATCGTGATGAATGCATGATATCCTCTGGTCTGGTCTACTCTCCGTCTATTGGATCTAAGTTTTACTCGCCGCACTTCTTGCGGTTCGGGAACGGCGTAATCGGCTGCGGCTTCGGCGTGCGAATGTCCTCGTTGTCGCCGAGTTCGGTGTCCTTCGTGACGCGGAGCTCTGTTTGTGTTAGCTTTCGAAATTGATGAACCTCTAGCTGAGCAAGGTTATGGGCCGACTCCACATCTGGCGGGCCAAACGTCGTAAGGCGCTTCTTCTCCCCGGCTGCGGATTTGACCTGCCCCGACAGTGGACGAGAAACGTAGGGAGTCACTTCATCTATTCTGACGAAAAGCAACCGGTCGCTGACTCACTGTATGTTCCCTTGGCCTCGTCCAGACGGCCTTGCACGACGTTCTTCCTCAGGAACTCGGCAACGTCCTTCCACTCCTGAATGCGCTTGGCGAGCTCCTCCGGCGAAGCGGGGTCGACCTCCGGAACGCCCTCCGCCTTCTCCTTCCTCAGCAAGGAGCGGCGCTTCGGCTTCGGGGCCGAGTGCGCAACAGAGCTCGTCGGGGCGGTGAGGGTCGGGCTCTCAAAGGTGGCACGGAGGGCAGTGACGAGGGCGATGTGACGCGTCGGATCGCCCTGGAAGGTCGTGCGCGCAGCGCGGAGCACGTCACGGTACGCTGAGCGTGCGGCGGGGGCGAGGTTGGCGGGAATCATTGTTGTGGTTGTTTTTAGGAGAGGAAGGAAGGCAGCTGAGGCAGATCGCCGTTCATGAACACTCGGCAATCCGCGAAATATGGACGGAGGCTTTTCGGTGGAGGTCGCGACCGCCTTGATGGATGTCGAGGTCTGGCTGGTGGCAAACGCTGGACGGAGCCAAAATTTCGGAGATCGGCGTCATGAAGTGACCACCCGATGAAGGTCTTGGAGGCGCGATCGAACCAGTCTCGAAAACAACATTGAACACGATGAGCTCGGCACTGACAAGATCAGTGTTCCGGATAACTCGACAGGCGCCTTCAAGGCTCCGACTCACGCCGACACCGCTGCGTGCCCTTCACGTCTCTGCCCGGAGGTGGGAGGAGGCCGAGCTTGCAACCGCTGAACTGTCGACACCTGCCCCGACCACGCAGACCGCTGCTGCTCTGGAGCAGACCAGTGGTACTCCAACTTCAACAACAAGTCAGGGCGAAACTGCGCCTTCGCCGACTGAAGCTACTGAACCTCCGACTGAGGACGTTCCCGAGCAAGCTGCTGTGGAGACGGCTAGCGATGGCCCTTCAGCCTACGACGCGTGGACGGTAAGCTACACATGTCGTTCAAGCTAACCGCAGCGTGCGGGTGTGCATCCCATTGTAGCTGAGAAACTCGTCAAGGAGTTCCCGGATATCAAGGCGCCGACACCAGCGCAGCTCGCCTTCCTGCTCACGATCCAGCGCGGCGCCTCCGACGTCTATTTCAAGGACACGATGGGACGGGGCAAGACCTTCTCGGTCGTTCTCGCTGCGCTCTCCCTGGTTTTGAACGGGAAGAAGGCTTTGATTCTCGTCCCGACGCCGCATCTGGCCAAGCAGGTCGAGGACCTCTGCCTCCGTCTGCTTGAGGTGACGATGGAACGTCCGCCGATGTGGACTACGCTCCTGCCCGAGGAGCACGAACCCGAGGAGGAGGTATCCCGCCCTCTCGTCATCGCGACGCCGAAGACGTACCTCGAGTCTCAAGTCGACTTCAACCCGGACTGGATCCTAGTCGACGAGCCAGACCACATGCTTGGCCCGCTTCCGCCGCGGCACGGCGACCCGAAGCGTCTAGCCCACCACCCAATCTTCAAGCACCCTCCTCCGCTCGTCGCAGTGATGAACGAGCTGCTCGATATCCGTCCCGTGCGCACCGACCGGCGCAAGCCGGACGGCAAGATCTACGTCGACCAGTCACAGCGCCGCGACATCCGCACGGCCTGGAGCAGTGCCACGCTGCAGACCAAGCTCAAGTCCTTCGTCTACCGGCACGGCTGGGTGCGGGGCGCAGCGGACCTGAACTGGACTTCCACGGCCAGTGCCGAGCAGCAGGCGGTGAGGGAGAACATGGAGGCGATCGCTGAGCAGATCGGGGGCATCACGGATAACTCGATGGGCGTCCGGCCCGAACACTATGCGATCGAGGTCGGGCCGACGGGCGCGATGCGTCCCATCAGCCAAGAGGAGGTCGAGGCCGAGTTCGCCGCGGCGGCGGAGGCGCGGACAGAGGCGCGGATGCGGAGAGAGCGGGGCGAGGTCGAGGACACAAGGCGGGAGCGTGGGGCTGGAAAAGAGGAGGCCCTGGCGATCCGGCACTCGCCCGTGTTCACTGAGGCTGTGGCTCTGCTGCAGGCCACGGCCCCGCCCCCGGATGGGAAGTACGCCCTCTTCCTGCCCCCTAGCGGCGCGTCACTCACGAAGCTGGCGGACGAGCTCGAGTCGCTCGGCGTGCCCTCGCTGCCCCTCGTCCCCGAGGTCATTGAGGCGGGCATCGCCGCGCCAATGCCCGGCCTGAACCCCGTGCTCATCGCGAGCAGGGAGAGTCTGACGGGCCTTCACCTCCCCGAGTTGCACACCGTGTATCTCGTCAATGGACTGGATGTGGCTGGCCTGTCGAAGAGCCAGAGACAGTTTGGCGGCAAGACTGAACGGACCACGAGTTATGCGCGTATTGCGGGCCGCCTGGGCCGACTCGGCACCAGTATCGAGGGCAAGCCGCAGCGCGTCATCTCTCTCTTGCCTGCTGGGTCTACGGAGAGATACTCCCTCGTCAACGCTCTGGAGGGCATGGACGAGGAGCTCAGCGAGTGGAAGGACGTCGATCTCTCCACGCTCTAACATCCCTTGCAATCCAACTCAAACACTACATCACCTCTCAAGTATTAAGTCATTAGCACACCCCTCATAAACCTGTATGCATTATTAATTCACACCACGCGAGCAGACCTAATGTGGAACCGTGAGATGCATGCAAAAGTACTTGAGATGTGGATTAGATCTAGTCGTCCTCGACCTTGGGCTCGGCGACGTCGTAGCGCTTGCCGCGGATACCCCAGATGCCCCAGTTGGTCTTGACGGCGACGCGCGGGTCCCAGTCGGCAACCTCCCACTTCCTGCTTCCGAAGGGGTTCTGGCCAGGGGTGAGGATCAGGTCGAACTCATTCGTGACGCCTTCGATGGGCGGAATCGGCTTTGTCGGCAGGTTCACTGTGCTCGGGTACTCGGAGGGTCCCTGGGCGGCGGACGCGGGCGGCTGCGTGCCATAGATGGCGGAGACGTCACGGGCCAGGTCCGTAGGAGAGAAGGCAGTGAAGAAGAGACCACACTTGGTCTCGAGGATCTGCTGCAGGGCCGTCTTCCACGACGTCTGCGCCTGGACTTGCGGCTCGCCCGTCGCCGGGTCGACGGCGTTGGCCGACTGGTCTGGGAAGCCGAGTCCCGGGGAGAAGGCGAAGAAGACGTCCTGGTACGGGTCGAAGGGGCCGAACATGTGGTGCACGTTCTCGTAGTTGGCCTTGAGGGAGATGAGCTTGAGCTGCGGGTTGACGTTGACCGTGCAGCTCGGGACGCCGTATTGCGTTCCGTCCTCCGACATCTTCAGGTGCTCCCTCTGCCTTCCGGTGACGAGGGGAACGCCCGCCTCGGGGCCGATGAAGTAGACGTTGAACGGCGTGCGTGGGAACAGGTGCACAAGCTGAAGCCAAATGTCCGCCGGCAGAGTAGACTCAGAGCGCGCTCCGAGAAGGAAGACACGGAACGGGTTCATCGGACGGATGTCCATCAGCTCAGTCGACGTGCCCGGGGGAGGGTGCAGGACGGAGTGAAGGGCGGCCATCGAACGCTGGCCCTCGGGCGTCACGCGGCCGTTAGAGTGGTGGAAGGGTCCGTTCTGGTGCAGCACCGACAGCACCGAGATCGGGTACGTCAGCAGCTTGGACACGTGCCGGATCGCACGGGGAGTTAATCGACACAAAGTCGCGCGTGTAGAAGAACGTGTCCCAGCTCGCCATGGAGAGAGCCTGCTCGTACGGCTGAACACCTGAGGATTAGCTCAGTCGTCCCTTCTTCAGCTGTTGCTTTTGCTGGCAGCCGTAATGAACTCACCCGGCATGTTCTCAAACTCCTTCAGCTCGCGGCCGGAGCGGATGTCGTGCTCGTCCTCGTTGACCTCGCGGAGGCGGGGGCAGTACTCCTCGTGCTCCTTCTTGCCCTCCTTCCACATCTCCTCGCTCGCGTGCGTCGGGAAGCCGCAGTCGGGGCACTCATACCGCACCGGCTTGCGCTCGTGGTACTTCTCCAGTGTCTCGGGACACACAGCGTAGGTGCGGAGTCGCTCGCCCTTCTGGCGGAGCGGCTCGAACGGGCTCTTGCTAAGGGGGTGGAAGAGGTCGTCCTGGCTCAGCACCGGCTTGGCAGGCTCCTTGCGCTCCGGGACCGTGTCGAAACGCACGGGAGGCGCCTTCTTCTTGCTGCCGCCGAAGAGGCCGAAGAGCGTCCGTTGCCCGCCGACCTGGGCCGCACGCACGGCCATGGGAGCGACGGCGGGACGCACCAGAGGCCGTGTAGCGCGCGTCGCCAACCTTCCTGAGGCCTGGCGCATTTTTGTAGTGGTGTGAAGGGGAGGAAAGGGAGGTGTGAGTGATGAGGAGTGGCCAACGGCGCCGAGACATCAAAAGTCCGGGAGGGGTCGCTGCCAGAGCCCTGCGGGGCTGGACATTGCGGCGAGGATTGGATTCGGAAATGAGGTCAGCCTGAACATCACGTGACACGAGTCATGTATGGCCGCACTGTTCGCCCCCCTTGAGGTGGTGCCTGGGTTTTGTTGTTTTGGTGAAAGCTTGTCCTGCGTCGGTCAGGATAACAGCGGAGGCGGGCCTACATCGCTCGAGGTTGCTCGCCCTCTCCGTCCTTTGCCTTTTGTTTGTTGTTCTTCCCACATCGACTGTCACCCACCCCTCGAGCCTCCTGTCTCAACAACAAAACGAAAACGAAACAACATACACGAAACAAAACATCAGCCAAAACGGACCGCCCCACACACCGAGATTCACGGCGCACCGACGCCCATCACCTCCGCACGAGCGAGGATATGGGCTCCCTGGCCGTCGACCCAGCTGGTCTGGGTTCGCCGTTCCACACTCCCACTACACCGCGTTTCTACTCTACTCAGACGCCTGCATCTGGCTCAGGCTCCGGCTCTGGCCCAGTCCCTGCCGCCGTCGCAGCCGCCGACCTCCACAGCCCGACAGCGTCGACGTCGGTCGTGCGCCGCCTGTTCCGCACGCCACTTGTTCCCTCGGTGCTGCTGAGCACATCACACCACAGCCGCAAGACGAGTCTGTCCAAGTCCCTCTCCGCGAAAGAGTTACAGTTCGAGCCGTCCTCTGAGATCTCGGAAGCCGACGCCGAGGACGTCGAAGAGGCTAACGAAGCTTCAATGGCAACATTCACAGACCTGCCTGTGGAAGTGAGCTAGTTCCTCCTGCATGTAGCTGACATACAGCTGGTCCAGCACATTCACACGCTGGCCGACAACCCGTTCCTCCCCGTGGCCAGCCGATACCTGTACAATGCCCTCACAGGCGCTTCGGCGACGTACGTCGCCCGCCACATGCTCTACCAGTACCGACACTGCAGCCACAAGGAGATCCTGACCTTTGCCCTGCGGCGGCCAATAGTCACGATCCCAGTGCTGGAGGAGATGGTGCGCATCTGGGACGAGCGGCGGGACTTCAAGCGGCGTGCAGCCCGCAATCGGCCAACGCACGTAGACGGCGTGCCCGTGACGCCGCGGACGACAAGGCCACCGCTGGAGGTGACAGATCTGCCCCGCAGGCTATTCCGCCATCCGCCGAAACCGGGACAGCCGAGTATCGACCCGATGATCCCGTACCTGCTGAATGAGTACGATCCGCCGATAAATGGGCACAAGGGATATGCTCTCCTGAAGTCGGTCGTGAATCGGAACTACGACATGGTCGAAGTCCTCCTCGCGCGCGGAGCGGACCCGAGGTACAGAGGGAACAAGGCTGTGGAAGCCGCGATCCAGATCAAGGACTTGCGCATGGTGAAACTTCTCGTGGAGCCGCCTGCGCTCGCCGAGACACCGAAGGAGGGCAAGAGCAAGAAGAGGCGGAGGCTGTCGGATCGTATCGATATCGGACAGCCGCTCGTCGCACTCGCCATGAAGCAGGGCACCGAGGAAATTGTAAAGTACTTTGTGGACGAGAAGGGTGAGTCACTTGGGCCTGAGGGAAGCGGAGGGGGCTTAGCGGCTCAGGGAGGTGCTTCACTCCGGTGACGCTTTCGGCCTCCGACCAAAACTCTCACTGCTTGCCTGCCGCCGGTGCGAGCTGCGTGTTCTGCAGGCAAGAGCTAACCCCAGGCGTCATTCCTCCGTTAAACGACATCATGGCGATGAACAATCTGAAGAACCGCTTCTAATAGAGGGTTCCGCGTACCAAGCATAAACAGCATCCAAACCTCAACCATTCACACAATCACAGCAGCAACACAACAAAAGCGATTCCGCCAGAACAAGCGAGAGCCCGCATAGAGAGAATCGAGACTCAGCATAGAGACAGGAGACCCAGCATAGAACCAGAGGAGAGATATTGCATCGAATAGAGAGCCCGCATCGTAATAGATAGAGGAGTGCATCGACGAGAATAGAGAGAGATAGACAAGGAGTCCAATCATTGACATGTTACATTCATTTCTGTTGTTCCCTCATTGTCCTCTGCGGTCGCTCAGAATAAACCAGCATACGGCAGGCCAGTACCGTAAGCGACGACGATGACTCGGTCCGCCGTAGTTCTGGGGTCAGCTAAGCAGCTTGCTAGACAGCTCCTTCCCCACGTCAGCGACGGGAGTACTCACACGACAAGCCACATCCCATCCTTGGCCAGACCAAAGATAGGCCCAGACTGCAGATCATACGCACGGCGCATCTCGCCAGCTTCGAGGTCCCAGAACGCAACCCTGCCTTCGTATCCCGCAGATACGAGCGTGTTGCTGCCAGGATCGAGGAGGACGCGGCGGACCAGCTGTCCGCTTCCATTGAGCACCAGTGTGTGGCGACCGAGGCGACGCGAAAGCTCAAGCGTGCCGTGCGCGGTGCCGAGGGCCGTGTGATCGCCCTGTTGTCAGCTCGTTACTTCCACCTATCCACCTAGCTATACTCACGTCCCAGTCCATGCTCGTCACCCTGCCCGCCGTATTCCGCTTTGAGCGGCCCATCTCGCGCCCGGAGTGCAGGTCGAACTCGACCGTCCTCTCGTCTCCGGCGAGCAGGACCCGGCCAGCATGCAGCGCCATGAGGTGGCAGCCCTCGCCCCCAAACACCGTTCTCAATGGGATCGCGTCGCCGGCCGCTGTCGCCGAATACACACGGCACAGGCCGTTCACATACATGACGCACACCCAGGGTCCGTGCAGCTTGACGTCGGAGACGGGCGCCTCGGACCCGAGCAGCGTCGCCCTCTTCCTGAGTCGCGGAGCTGGGGGTTTGATCGGTTCTCCATTCTCGTTCACCGTCGGCGTATTGGACGACGGCCAAAGGATGTCCCAAGTGTACACCGTCTCGGTCGCACTGGTCACGAGCAGACCTCTGTTCTTCCCGTCGCTGAAGGGAAAGTCGAGCCCCGCCTCAGCCGCCGCGCCTCGGATCGAGTTCACGTCGAGGATGAAGTCGAGGTGCAGCACGGAGCTGCCGTGCACCTTTTCTCTGAGCACGAGTTCGGGCCCTGCAGTCGGCTTACTACCGTCGTTGGGCAGTTTCGGAAGACGGTAGATGTTCACGCACTTATCCCTCGCGCCCGTTATTAGCCACCTGCCCCGAACCGCACAGGAGTAGATTTTGGCGGTGTGGTCGCGCAATTGCCACAGTTGTTTCGGGTACACAACCATGGCGTCCGAGTCGTCGAACTCGTCCTCAGACTCGTTCCCCGATGGCGGGCGAGAGGGGCGGCTAAAGTGCGAGGGATGGAAGGGGTTGCTGGCGTCACGGGCGGGATTGTAGAGTGGATGCGGACCGCGAGCTTCTGACTCCTCCTGGGCCAGTTGTCGGGATCGGAACAGTGTAGGCCAGTGGACAGGAATCTGGTCCTCGGTATCGGGACTCGATTGGGGCGGCTGGGATTTGACAGGTGGAGTACCCGCTCCAGGGAGACGGCGCCGCTTCAACCGTCCGAGCCAGGCGGAGGGCCAGAGACTCCAGCCCTCCTCTTTCCCATTACCCGCGAGCCACTTGCCTCCCTTCCATCTGCCCGGTGGACTCCTCGCAGCGACGAGTTTCGGCACAGATTCGGGGTCAAGCGTATACCCTGCCGCGGAGAAGAGACGCACCCAAAGGATCGGAGCTTGACTAATCGCGTGCAGGCGTTGATTCACTTGACCTAAAGCCAGGAGCGCATCGGGCTCGGCTGGGAGGTGGAATGCGATCTCGATCAGACTGATGTCAGCTCAGACAGAGAAAAATAGCTTACAGCTCGTCCGGGAGGTCCAGCAACGTCGTCATGGCGGAGATGAGGAGGAGGTTGACACCGAGACACCGAGACGGACCGAGATGATTAAGTGGCTTCGAGGACCAAAGTCGGACGGAGCCGGTGTGGAGACCCCGCATCCGGCGACCGATGGGGTGTCTTCCTCCTCATCGCCTTGTCACCCGTCCATCGCAACATCGCAGAGAACAAAGTGCGTCGCAAAAACGTACATAAGGGCATTATAGGGTATCGTTACAGTGTATAGCAGTCCATGTCTACGGTCTATCCCCGCACAAGCATACCAATCATGCACTCTGCCATGAGGTGTTCGAGATTGACCCACGAGTGGGTTAGCACTGTCTGTCAGCTCACGCCGCGGGCTTGTAGCTCACTGAACAACTTCGTCCCGTCTCTTCCAGCCACACGCATCAGCTCGTCCTCCCCACCGGGGTGGAAGCGGAGGTACGGCGTGATGTTGTAGACGGCTCCGTTGAACGCACTCCAAGCGTCGTCATGCGTTTTGTGCTTCGCGAGCTCCTCCTTCGTGACTCGAATCAGGCCACCCTCAACACCGCGCAGGTTCTCGCCGCTCTGCGTCAGTCGTGCCCAGTCGAGCGCCGAGCATCCCGGTCCGAGGGCGACCTTCCCTCGACCCTTCTTCTCCTTCTTTACTACAGCCGGCTTGGCCGCGGGTACGCCGAGTCCGCCGTTCTGCGTGACAGCTGACGCTGGTGGACCAAGTCCGCCGCCAGCCTTCATGCCGAATGCAGGGCGCGAGGTCGTACTTGGTGGCGGGGCCATGTTGCCGAGGGGAATAGGATCGGGGAGGATCGCAATGTTCAGATCGCTTGGCGGCGACGCTGATCGCTGGCGCTCAGGCGACGGAGGGGCAAGTTCGAGTGCCGGCGCTGGTGGCGTCGCGGACTCTGAGCTCGGCGCAGGAGCAGAACGCTGCGCACTTCCAGGTAACGGGAACTGGGGCGGCTTGTCGAGGTCTTCCTCGTCTTCCTCGACATCATCCGCCGGCTTCGGCTTGCTCCCCCATGACGGCAGTGACGGCAGCAGCTGTGGTCAGCTCGGGAAACACAGGCATGAACTTACCCAGCTCATGACTCAAAGGGTCGAGAAAAGTCGTCACAGGTGAAGAGTGTTGGATCGCAACGACGAAAACAAACGCGCCGGGTATACCGACAGCACGTCCAAGTGCAAGGCTGAGTCAGGTTCTGGTCCCGGACATCGCGGGAGCGGGGCTCACCCAGGAAAATCATCGGGTAGATAGCAGTCGGAGTCACGTGGGTTTGCCACCGCCAGGCAATATTCCAGTCGCGTAACCCGGGCGCGCTCCGCGCGCCGTGAACGCCGGAGCAACAACAAATCCACCCCGTACCACCCGAGCGACCCTCATCAACATTGCCATCACCACGACTGTCCCAACCCTTTTGTTCGGCATTGAGGCAGACATTACGGGGACTTGGACCGATGGTAAGCTGAGAAGCATTCCGAAAGAAAGCTGACTTCAGACTTGCAATGCCGCCTTCCTCCGACCCCTTCGACGACTATGACGACCTCGATTTCGACCCCGCGACGCTCAAGGAGATTGAGGCGCTCGAGAAACGCGCAAGCTCGGTGTCGGCTACCCAATCCAAGAAATACCACCACACGGTAGCGAAACCGGCCAAGCCGCGACCCGCACCAGCTACTAAGCCTGCACCCCGACCGATTAACACGAACCCGCGAGTATCAGGATGCGGCATGGGTTGGGAGCCGGGAGGCAAGCATGCCACAAAGTATGCTCCCCCGCCGCTCGTCAGTCAACGCATAGAGGAGGAGTCTTTACCGGTCGACGTTGTCGTGGACGAGCATGGGCGCTACTCCGCAGCGTCGCAGGGTGAGGTCATCGACCAAAGGACCCGTCCGGAGATTCGCCAAATGGTCGAGAACGCCGCCCGCTCAGCAGCCCCGCCGCCGTTACCAGGTTCTCAAGCACGAAGAGAAGCGATCTTCAGTGCCATGGCTGAGGCTGGCCCCGGACCGACGACCGCCAACTCGAGGCAGTTCCAGCGATCTAACAGTTCGTCTGCCGTACCATCAGCAACGGCTAAAGTCGGTAGCAGCCGTACCTTGTCTCGCTCCGTCTCTACCGGCTCGAATGTGTTCAACCGTCCGCCGCCCTCGAAGACCGCACTGCAGCCAGCCCTTCCGCCGATAACCGCCTCACAAAGCAGCTCGCAGGGTGCTGCTGCACGGAGAGTGGCCGGCGAACTCGAAGACGAACGACGGAAGCGCGAAGCGAGCGACGCAGAGGTGCGCGCCCTGAGAGCGCAGATCGCGCAGCTCCAGACCACCACGAACAACACTGTGTGGGCAGACGGACCCGCCATCGACACTCCGGAGATCGCTGCGCTAAAGCAGCAGCTATGGACCGCGCAGGGCCAGGCAGCGACGGCGAAGAGAAATCAAGAGACGGTGAGTTTAGCTCTCGTAACGGAGAAACTGACGACCAGATGGTTTCTAAACTGCAAGAAGAGCTTGAGAAGATCCGGGCACAGAATCAGCAGCTCGAGGCGCAAATGCGCACACGCGAGCTGGAGGCTAAGCAAAAGCTGGAGAGCATGCGGACACAAGCTGTCTTCAGTGTGAGTAGCTGCCGTTTGAGAGCTGGTGACCTGACACCTCAGAACCACAATGCCATGGCGTCAGCATCGAAGGCGAGGCACCAGTCGCAGTGGTCGTCATCGCAGCGTCCCGGTGCTCCGACACCACTGCGCGCCTCTCCTCTGAAGGAGAAGACTATGCGGACCCCCGCTCCCTTGACGCGTTCCGTGACGAAGGCCAAGGGTGAGCTGTCAGGCACTAGGCGAGGAGCTGACATGCAGACCGGCCACCACCGCCTCAGTTCGGGCAGTTACAGAATGCATTCGCGCGGACCCCAGCGACCTCTAGGAAGAGGCAGCGAACGGAGGCGCCTCTGAGTCCGAGCTCGACGCCGAGGAAGGCTCACCAGTACTCGTCGCCCGTCGTGTCGCCGGTTCGAAGCCAAGGAGGGCACGTCGCTTCCGACGGCGATGTCAGCATGGACTGGCAACCAGACTTTGGAGGTTTCGATGCCAGAGCGAACGTAGGCAGTACCGCAGTGATTCTGGCCGATCGAGATACCAGAACGGAGGTGAGGTGCTGTGAGTTGCTGACCGCTGACCTCGCAGCTACAGCACCACCTGCTGAGCCACAGCGCTTTCACGCCGATAGCAACATACATCAAGGATTCTCAGCCGTCCATATTTCGTCTCATGACGAGCGAGCCGCTGCAAGAAGAGCTCGTCCCCGAGTGGCAGAAGCTATGTAATGGGCTCTTAGCGCTGATCCACAATACGACGCTGCCGTACGACGACGGCTTTTGCGAGCGTCTTTTGGGAACGTTAGTGCGCCTCGTCGAAATTGCGGTGCACGCTACTTTCGTAGAGCAGCTCGAGGAAATGCGGCACATCGAATTTGTGAGCCTATGTGTGTGTATAGATACTGACAACAGTTACCGACGCTGATCATCCTACTGCGGCTGGTGTCGTCGGCAATGCTGATGTTTCCGTCATTCATTCCCGGCAGCCACGTCAACACCGGCGACCTGGAGCTGAAGCTTCTCGAGGTGTCCCAGTTCCTGACGACGGCGAAGGTGGAGACTGTGGACGGGTGGTGGAGCGCTGCCCTTGCTCGCCTCGGCGGGGACGCCAGATCTTCCTGGGAGGAGGAGGTAGCCGACACTGTCGCCGAGCTGGGCGAGGCGCTGTGTCTCAACAGCAATCGCAGCCAGTCATGGTAGGTCTTAAGAGTGTTACTCTGCTGACCTGACAGGAGCTCGAACTGCCTATCCGAGCTGATTCTCAACCTCGCTCAGTCTGAGCGGCCATTCGTTGTTGGCCGCGCGCTCGACCTGTTCACTGTGGCGGCAATCCGTAAGCTGCCTGCCGTTCACATGGAGCTAACACTTGCAGGTGACGAGTTCTTCCGTGCACTCCTCTTCCCTCGAGAGGGATTCCAGGGCGGAGCGCCGGTTATAGATCGCGTCGCGCGGTTCCTCGTCTCGCCGCCACCGAGCATGAGCAAGGACCAGGTGGGTACAGCTACCCGATGAGTATTGGTGAGCTGACTCCCAGATCCACCGACACACCGTTGCGGTGCTGTCCGGCCTCTTCATCCTCGCGCGACACAATGCGGACGCAGTAGTTCTACTCGCCGAGCAGAGCGTACTAGTTACCTCGCTCCTGATGTTGCTATGCCGCGAGTCCGTCTCGATCTGGGGCATCCGCTCCGACCCCGTTGCACACGAGTGAGCTTTCTTCCCGCCTTTTGCAGCTAACCCCAGCACGCTCTCCCTAGTTCTCCCCACACTTCAACTCCTGCATCATCTAGTGTACCCCGCGCCTCTTCCGCGGCCATCTTCGAGCCTCGCAACACCAACAAAGGAAGACGACGAGATCACGCCACAGGGCGTAGACCTTGCGCGCAAACTGCAAGAACCGAGCGAGTGGACCGGCCTCAGCCACATGTTCGTCTCAACGCTGGGCGGGATAGCCTACGCCGAAGTCGACATCGACGACGGCGCGTGGGCGTACGCCTCCCTCGTGCCGAAACAAGAACGCAGGCGGAAGATGGACCTGAACGATCTCAGGCTGATGCAGTGTGAGTCATCCTTCAATCGCTCTCCCCACTACCCTTTCTCTATCAGGTTAGGGACCGGTGATCGACGAAAGCTAGATTGTAGCCAGCAGCAAGCTGACACCCCAGTCCTCGCCCAGGATCTGCTCGAGCGCGTTGTCGAGGGACCAGAGGGAGATACAGTATACGAAGTGTTTGCGGAGCAGGAGACGCAGCCGTCCCCCGAGCCCGAGGAGGAGGAGTATGACGAGGAAGAACGGGTCATGGACGCGTGGCCGGGAATGGACGAGGATTAGTCTGCGATGCGAGGCGCGAGGCGACGAAGTCGGTCGAGCCTCCCGTCTCTCCGCTCTAAATATCGCATCGCAAAAAAGTTGGATCAGTACGCTCTCTGTCCTGACGTACCCCTCCATACACTCTCGGCACTCTTTACACTCTCCATACACTCTCTATACTCTCGTGCACTTCGTGCTCTTCGTGCACTCGCACACTCGCACACTTTCGTACTCATGAAAACATTCACATCTTGACGGCGCCGCTCTCCATAAGACAGGACAGAGAGCCGGGAATAAAAAAACTCAGACAGTGTACAGATCGGGGTGGTGAGGGTGGTGGGTTAAGTTTAGGTCATGTGGGACCAGATATTCTACTAGCGTTCTCTCTCTCTCTCTCCTCTTTTGTCAACTCGCTCTACTGCGCGCGGCACGGGGCTGGCGCACTCCATCAAGAACGAGGGCTGCAGCTCGAATGTGGCAGGTTCGGACGGCGCGGCGCATGTCAGGCTACACCGTCTCCGCCGACGCCTATCCAGGCCTCGCCCAGTCGCCCTCGTCTCCTCGCCGCGCCTTTGGCGCAGCTCGGGCTCGGTACAGACTTAGCAGCATCCGCCCTTCTTGGCCTGGGCGCCTTCGCCGAGGTCGACGCGGGCCTGGTCGCCAGCGGCCGCGTTGGCGGCGGACCGGCGGCCCTGC